ATGGCCTTCTAGGGTCTGTTGCAGCTCGCCCGTCGCGGCATTCCAGAGCTTGATAGTCATATCACTGGAGCCTGAGACAACAGTTTGGCCATCGGGCGAGAAGGCCACAGCTGTAACCCAATCTGAATGGCCTTCTAGGGTCTGTCTATAAGCGCCCCAAGATATCTCCACCTGTGGCAGCGCATGTATCCACGGCGAATGGTAGTTTTCAGATGCTCTTCTAACCAAACTCGATGTTGGCGTGAATACCAAACATGATGCATATAGTTGAAGCGGAACAACGCTAGCAATTTGAGCATGTCGGTGGATGAATTGTATAGCATCGGACAAAAAGTTTGAAAGACCCGGATTCGTATTATTCTGTTTCGCGATTAGTATTTGTCTGGATTATATTGTAGAGGTACAGACCTGAATGCTTTCTTTCAGTGTGACCATCATTTTAAGGGTCTCTGATAGCACTCTCATCAGGCTCATCACCTCTAACCAGTGAAGGAAATGTTTTTCCAGGAATGACAAGATCTCCGCATCGGGGATAGAAGGCTTGCTTTGCGTCAGATGGAACATCCAGTAGCGGCATGAGTATCGGAGTTCCTCTGGAATGTACTTTTCAGTCGTCTCACTGTGTATGTCTGCACGTTGGGTCGAAAAGCTATTCAGTTTGCAGATATCGCGCTTGAGATACTTGCTCATAACACGAAAGCAATGTAATGTTATGTTATTATGCATCATCCCCGCGTCCACATGAAAACGTGATTGTGTGGTAAGGAGATATTCTCGAAAAGACAGATGCAGAATACGAACTGGGTGATCTTTCTTGTCAGGTATACTCAGAACCGAGTGAAACGAATCCAAATGGAATTCGACGGATCTAGCGCCGATGCCGACAAATTCGGAAAGCGCGCTGATTGTGAGAGGGGCTGAAAGGAGAATAATCACACCAACTATTCCCTTGAACCGCGTGATTTGCTTCTCCTGGTCATTTTTGTCCCGTTCATGAAGTGTCTGGTCAAGAATCGGGCCATATGTTTTGTCCATTCTCGTCACATATCTGTGTTGGTTATTCAGAATATCAGCAAGGCGTTCTACTGGGTCGTCCCCTGGCTGTTCGACAAATCGGCAGATTGTAGCGGCGGAAATAAACAACGGTATACACACGGTCGCCAGAGCTTCAACAACATCGTTACCCGGCCAGTCTTTGCCGGTATTCGCTTGTGCTCCGATTTCTGTGAATCGGTGTTCTAGAAACCGCACGATGTCTTCTCTAATGGCTTCCTCAGCAACCTTTTCAAGGACCAAGCGTCGATGAGAGCCTTCCTTCTCGAAGAAACGTCGGAGTGGCAACTCGGGCCGGCTCGTTAGGAAAATTTTCAGTCTCATGTTACTGGACTGGTGTACCCGCGGAAGAAACTGAAGGATCTTTTCAATTTCTTTATCATTCTCACATTCGTCCAACGCATCGATCACAATCACTAGTGTTCTACTTTGGTACATAGCAACACTTTTCAAGGGTTCGAGAAGCAGCTTGTTGAATTGTTCCGTGACGTCTTTCGCGGCGATCTGTGGGTCCTGCTCAATCGCTTTCAGAACACCAGACGCGAGGTCCTTGTTTTGCTTGATAAGTTCCTTTGTAATGGTAGGTATAAGTCGTTTTGCATTGCAACGGTCGGGTTCCCCTCTTTTAAAGAAGAAGCTGGCTCCTAGCTGTCCCTTGGTTTCGAAGCTCTGAGCAACAGTCCGAGCGATAGTGGATTTTCCAGTTCCCGCCCCGCCATTCAACCAGAAGATACACTCGCTTTCAACTGAGTCTGCCCATTGTGTTATTTGGGAGCGAGTCTGGACTCTGGTATCTTCGAGGCATAGATCCTCGTGTTGGTATGAGTTCCAGAATGCACTCTCACTAATAGGTAGACTGAAACGTAGGTTCAGAGCGTTGAGGGATTTTGATAGTTTGTCATCGATGGCAGTCAGGATCTCCTCAGTAGCTTTCTCGTTCTGCTTTTGTAGGGACACTGTGATTTTCTCGATTGCCTCAAGTAATTGCAACTGAGTAAAGTGGAATAACTTTTGTTCCTCCTTCTCAATAGAGCACCGAAGCTCCGTGATATATTGGACGGTGGTTGCTGTAACACTGTCGAGCAACTTGCCCCTGGTACTCATATTATGGCTCGCCATGACTTTCGCTGCATACTGAAGGATTGTTTTATAGAGTGTAACCATGGCTTGCATTACCACGTCGTCTTCGTCGGATCGATTGTGACAGATCTTCTTTTCGATATATGCGCATCGCGCAAGAGCCTCCGCAAGGTACTCTGAGGACTCGAACAAGGCATCTCGACGGTCAGAATGATTTTTTGCCATCTGTGCGTTAAGGGTCAGCTCTGCTACCTAAAACAGCCGATAACACATACAGTCAGACCGAGTGACACTATTGCCCACGCGCTTGCGGCATGACCCGTAGGGTCACAGGCTACTCCTGCACTGATAACCTCCTGGAAAGAGAGGGTGGCATTAATGATTTTTTTGGAAATTTTTCGAATGTTGATTTCTTCTCCCGTTGACTTCCGGATTCTAATGCCTCCTTTCTCTTGGTATATCTCGTACTTTTCCTTGGTGGTCTCGATGACATCGTTGAGGGCATCAGTAGTAGAGGAAGGAATAAGGCTTATTTGCAAAGCATTTTGTTCCTCTCGACTCAGCAGATCAAAGGCAGACTTCCATAGGTCTTGCGAGGGCGGTGGATTCCGTGGCCGGAACTGACATTCGCTGGCACAGGGAGCTGATGCCAATTCAGAAGCGGGAGAGTCGTTGGTACAATGATCCGCTTGGTGGGGTGGAGGAGCGATATTTTGAGATCCACTGTCTCGATGAAGCCATTTTTTCCAACGGGCCGACTTGAAATGGACCATTGTAACTATGCTACAGCCTTGATCTGTGAGGGTTCTGTCGTCACAAAGTAATATGCGTAGAAAGTGTGTACCGACGACCAAGAGGCGGTTAGAATCATTTACGCTCTCCAAGCCTGCCCGCTCAGCTGAACCTGCGGGGTCCATTTCACTGACAACTGACCAATCATAATGGAACATGTGGTGAACTTTCGGATCTATCACTCGTTGATTATGCATTATCTTAGGTAGCCAAAGTTGTCCCGGGTACTCATGGCCTTTATTCAATCTCTGAGATACTGTTACTTTTCTCAACTTATTCTGTGCAATAGACATCTACAAAGCCCCATAGGAGTGCCACTGGTTCCTGGGATCTGGCGCTCTGTCTGACCAGTAGCAGTTGCCAAGTAGGGCCATCAGACATGGGTGCCAATAAAACATCATCTAGCCATTACTAATCATCTGAATCCATTCATCCTAGCATAATTGGCGTTCTGTTTATCACAATTAGTGGAATGACATGTTCAGACGCACTGAGTAGCTTTTAGTAGCCGCCCCATCCCACCTTCGGGGATTAACCATATCGAACATTCTCTTGGAGCAGTGCACAAATCATGCACTGCATACAGCATGTATTGTAGTAGGCTAGGAAACATACCAAAATAACCTACTATCTGAGAATAGGCTAGTCCGCGGGAGTGGCGCTGAGAGAACGTAAATAAATGTAAACCATGTAGAAGCCTGACTCGTCAGTCACTGTATAACAGTTCTTGTTAAGATCTTCTGCGAGCAGTTTACGGGTTTGTTTGCCCTATGTATCACTTTAACTGAGTCCTATGGTAACATGACCATGTCTAGGTGCCCAATATACCATGCGGGATGTACAAGCTTCTGTCTGCATGATAAATGGTCAGAGACTTGGCACTGGCCAGGCCAATTTTCTTGATCCGTTTACTTGTTCAAAAGAAAAGTTCCGCGCGGCGGCAACTCGGTCAAAGTTTCACGAATCGGCTGATATGCGATGGCTAGCTGATCGATATGGAAATGTTATTCAGGCACAGAAAGAAGGGCTGAATCTTCAATATATCGGCCTAGCAATAAAGCGGTATCCGGAGCTTGAACTACTATTTGAGCGACTAGGGGTTGATCTTGGTATTACCATGGAAGCTGTGCGTGATATGGACCCTTCTAGACTTCCGGCTCCTGCCCCTGGAGATGTTCAACGGGGTTTGTTAGGATAAAATTCAGCGGCGTTGTCTTGTCCAAATTACAACAAAAGAAAAAGTATTTCAGGGAATACCGCACAAGACATTGTTCACACAATCGATGTACGCAGATGTGTCCCCCAAACCACGTGATGAGTTCTGTTATGAGTTCAGTAAGAGTCCAATAAAGTAGAGATACTTCATTAAATCCTTGCTTTAACGGTAGGATTAGTTCTGGTAAGCGCCGTATGATGCAATACAATGTAAGTTCTTGGTACATTATAGGGCTCGAGAATAATCATCATATATTTGCTGGTCAGGCTGATGTTGACAATGACAGTACATAATAACGAAAAACTAGTATTTATAAGTAGAAAACCAATGGGAGTCGGAACATTGTCAAGTATCCAATCCTTGTTCATCAGCCCACTTGCGTATTTCCTTAACAAAATGACGGGCAACACCGATTCTCACTCCGTGTTTGATGAAAAAATCCGGGTCCTGGTCCCCGTAGATCTGCTCGAGATCAAGGCCGTTTTCTAACGCAATGTCGCGTGCCCTGTCAATGTCATCTTTATACCTCTGAGATACCACTTGTAATCTTTACGAGGGGCTGTACTCCTCCACTATTACTTCCAGTGGGAGATCGGGAAACACTATGGGATCAATGAGTTCCGAACCCGGATGTGGCAACAAGGATAGACTGCCAGCTGGTGTAGCAAGCATTGACGACTGAGGGGATTGTGACAGTAGAAAATTGATGTTGATTAAACAGCCTGCTGGCTCAACCGAGGAACGTTCTGAGGTTTCTTGCTCTTTTTCACGCTTTTTACGCTCTTTGGCATAAAGTTGTTCCCGAATCTCGCTAGGGACATCATCGTGGCTATCGAGGTCAAGGCGGCCAGCTTCTACAAACTTGGCCAGGCGAGTGAGATGGTATGATTCAAGTAGGTAATGCTTCTTTCCGTTAGAGTCCTGCCAACAGTACCAATCTTGGTTTTTACATGACCCAGGACAGCGCATTTTCCTATATACATCTCGCCATGCCGTCGGCTGTCCAGAGGTAAGTTCAGCATCAACTCGAGCGTCTCTGTCAGAAAGCATTCTGTTTGTTGTTGAGTTAGTGCCTCTTTTATCCCCGCTTCTTGAAGGATCTGGGTAGGTATCGTCTGCAATATAGCTAAGAGAAATGTCAAGTCTAAGCTGCTTGCCCTTGTTAATCAGACCGCCCCAGTCAAGAAACTGCTCCTCTATAGCTGTCCAATCAACATCAATACTGTCAGATTGTTGGTGAACATCAGGTTGTGACCGAGCTTGGAGTACCGACGCCACAAGGGTAATATCTTCCAACCGAGCCCGTCGATTTTGAAACACCCTGCGATGTTTAACTTTTTCCACCTTTTCTTTGAAAGTTCTCTCCCAAAACTCGCTTGGTTTTATGACCACATTACGCTCTATAACCTTATGCACGGATCGGCCATTAAGAGTTACTTTCCACTCGATCAAGTAGTGAATACAGATTAGTGGCTGTTCAACGTATCTCTTTGCCTTATCCCAAGTAGCTAGAGGGACGAACTGTAGTTGGTCTTTTTGTGCTGGTTGTACAGCATTTTCATCGGTTATCCAGCCCAAGGGGGGGCTACAAAGTGATGGCGTGGGTGAGCGATCCCAGTTACCGGGGGTAGAGACATATTCAAAGGTTCTATTCCATGGTTCAATTTGCTGAAATTGTGAGTCGTCATCTATATAGGAGGGACTGTATGTCATTGCCTCGGGTTGATGAATGGCGCTGATCAACCTAATATTAATGCCATGTTCATGTCAGCTCTACACACCCAACAAATACATCACATTTTGGGGAAGCTGCAGCTGACAGAACAAGTAAAATGATCAGCAAGAACATGAGTTTACGCCACAGCACCGCCTGTCACACTCGGGTCTTAGGATTTCTCTCGAGGCGCCAGAGACATGACAGGTGTGGATGGGAGAGCAAAAGCACTGGTACGTTGACAGATAGCCAAACCTGTTGCCTACAGCATCTGTTTATCCGATTTGCATAGAAGATTCCAGAGAACCTTGTATATTATTTACGAACAGTGTATGTATTTCTAGTAACGTGTATTGAAAGTACAATACATCGTATGTTAAGAGTTTAGATACAGTCTAACTATTTATGTTCTAGCGTGTCTTGGCACGCATTTTAAAACACCAAGAGAGTATCTTGGGGGGCAGGCTCATTGCGCAGATTACTGTATAAGCTGCTTTTGGATAGCTGTCCAGTCAACATCAGTTTTCTCAAAGTACTTGATGAGATCGCGCTGTGAATAATTATTTATAGAGACTACTACTGTAGTATTATCTAGTCTCACCCGTTAATTATGAATAATCTTCTGATGTAGTAGTTCTTCTGCTTTCTGCTTTATTCCTGACCAGTAGAAGCTGGGATTTAAACCCAGATCTTGTTCCGTGTCCTTTGCTACCACGTGGTTGTTAAGAGTTACTCTTCATTTAATTGAATATCGGACCATTAAATAATGTTCCCTGTTATCTATTCCTGCAATATCCCACACCATGTCTTGAATGTAATCTTGAAGTGGTGAATGACGCAAGAAGGTGAAGCTTCGACGTCCACGACTAGGGGACAGGCTGTATCCAGACAGCATGCCGTCGCGGCTAAAGACTCCAGGAGTGGGAGCATGCAAGGGGGTGCCTTCGCCTAAAGCAAGGTAACGTGCCAGAGAGGCAGTCTCACTTCTTGGGCTAAGTGCCACGTCATCAAGGCAACATATCCCGCCGAAGAGCCTATTGTTGGGAACAATGAAATGTTAGCTGGGGAAGAGCAGTCCTTCGCATGATCTTTTTAGAGGACAAAGGGCGTTTCCTGACAGGCTAGATAAGATTATAAGCAGAGCAATATGCGCTGCACTACTCCATGTGATGTATGGTGGGAACATGGAGGGCGAGGAGGGGCGTCTGTGTGCCATGGATACGTTCCTGTTTGTTCAGTTTGCATGTTACCCAGTCACGGTGCCTGCCCGGGCCGGGGCGGTTCCAGAGCCTTCCGACTTTCCAAGCCACGTGTTGGGACACCAGCTGCTTTAAATCACGTGACCATAAAACTACCATAGCTCTGGACTCAGGACTAAGTGACCAATGCAAGTACCCTTGTCTTCTTGCCTCATTGAAGGGCAAGGTGCCATAGAAGAGTGAATGTATGAATCGCTTAGATACCTTAATTTAGCGGGAAACATAGTTATATTTAGGCATAAGAAACATACCTCTTATCTTCAAATTGCAAGCTAGAACTTTCTTAACACAGCCTTCCCGCCTGTCTCGGGCCGATGTAAGCCCGACGAACATCTCTTCGAGGCCACGCTTCCCGGCCGACCTGTCACCCGGGGCCGTAGACACAGTATGAAGAAGTGTGCAGGGACTAAGAGCCTGCCGCAATGATCCTCTGTGTGGTGTTATGCCGGCCCTTATTTCCTAAAAACGCTTCTCTTCTCTTGTTCTCACGCTGGTGAAAATCAAGAACTGAGATGCTGATCGCTGCAATGACGGACATATCGGAAATCCCTATCTTCCAATGACCTGGTAGATATGGCTGTGACTGGCTAAAGGCAAGTTGGCACATCCTTGTCTTTCAGCCGTGCCAGCTCATCGATTTCTGCACCTCAATCAAAATGGACACTTACATATCGCTTGTCCTGTGCTACGCACAAGAACCTGTCGTTCTCTTAGTAAATCACAGATAGCGAGCTCTTTGAAGAGGTTTGCTGGGTCAGAATTACCTGATTCTTCTAGAACGTGACTCACGAACCATTTCCTAAACATAGAGACACCGCAATGATGGAAGAACATTACTAAGCGAAGGACGAAGATGGCTTGATTCATACTACAAAACAGTTTCCGGATAGACACGGGGTCGAACTACCATTATTCGCGTTTGTATATCCATAAACGAAATGGTCGCGTAGATAAATCTTATACCACATTGGACGAAAGAACATGCTTAATTTTCTATAATATTAGTCTTTACAGTACTGCCTAACTATTCAGGTCAGCAAGCTGTCTTTCCGTCACCGGTCGAAGGTGGGGTAGGAACTGACCTCTTCGGAGTTATATGCCCGGCTCGGTCTGACTTAAGAACCAGCTGCTTTCTCCCACATATTCTTGTGTTTATTTTAGGCCACCCCGCTTTTACTTTTAAATTCTGGCCTATCTATAACATCCTGTGAAATACATTGCAAAATTTCCACACGCTTCGTCGGTTAGACGTGGATGTCGCTGGCCAATACTGGATTACCACATCAATAATACATACAGAAAAAATGTCCTCTGATAACTCTGTTCCTTCCTTCACTTATTCAACGCTTCCGCCGAACTCATATACACGAATGATTCGTCTTTTGCCAGACGAAAATAAGAGCGCCCTGATCCAGTGCGAGCTTTTCAACTATAATCTGTCACAATCAGGCGATGGAGGGCATCTTTATGAGGCGCTTTCCTATGTTTGGGGAAGCCCAGCCAGATCTCACTCTATTATTGTCAATGGCTGTAGGTTTTATGTTACGGAAAGCCTTTACACCGCATTATTACATCTCCGAGACAATCAGTTAGAGAGAGTACTATGGATTGATGCGATAAGCATAAAGCAGCATGATGACCAAGAAAAGAGTAAGCAGATCCCTCTCATGCGGAAGATCTATGCACAAGCCAGACGTGTCGTTGTCTGGCTGGGAGAGGCCCAGGAATATGGAGACAAAGCACTTGAGGTACTCGGTTCTCTTGGCAGGAAACAGAATTCCAGGCCAATAAATGAAAAAGACCTTGAGAAATGTGAGAAGTTACTACAACGGGATTGGTTTCGCCGTATCTGGGTAAGATAACATTCCGTCATTCAAAATAAATGAGTCCTAATAATGTGGGCTAGGTATTACAAGAAGTAGGTGTCGCGCAGTATATTTCTATCATGTGTGGCTCGGTTCAGATCAATGGACATCTTTTCTGTGAGGGGGTGGATAATTTGAAGCCTTCTTCCACACTTATGGCTAGAATCAGCCCGGTCTCTTTTCTTATTAAAGGGGCAAGTTTTCGGTCTCATGATGAGCATCATTCCACTGCTACACTTTCAATGGGGGAGCTTGTCAGCATGTACCGGAACCATAATGCAACAAAACAGCATGATAAAGTCTATGCATTACTAGGCTTAAGTTCAGACTCGAATAGTGCTGCATTGATCCCAGACTATGAGCTTCCTTGGCATGAGGTCTTCAGGCAAGTCACACAACATGTCTTCCCCAGGTGTTCTGTGGAAACATGGTGTGGGTCAGAAATAGCTACTATCAAAGGCAAAGGAAGGATTTTAGGTTACATCTATTCGATCAGTGACTCTCAAAAGGACAGTCGACAGACTTTCAAGGTTATTTTCAATCAAACTTGCCAGAAGCTGGGATATCATGATATATGGGAGACTGAATGGAGTCTGCAAGCTTCTGGAGAGTTACTTCAAGGTGGTGACATTATCTGCCTTCTAGAAGGCCATTCAAAGCCAAGCATACTCAGATTATGCTCAGATTACTATCTGGTAGTAACATCTGTGGTGAGACCCAAGGAACAGTCACAGCATGAGAACCACAGCGTGATAGCTGGTGGAAGCCATTCTCTATATGGCCTTTGTGATATTCTTCTAGTTTGGAAGATACCCCTGTCTGAAGTGAAACATAATTTACAGAGTCCATCAAACCTCATTGACATTGCACCAAACTATCATGAAGAGGATTGTGAGGCTGAGCGAAGACAGAATTACATAACATCTAATATGGTAGATGCTGCCATGAAAATATCGGAGTTAGGATTATCTGGGAAAGAAGTATTGGACAATATACTATTCAGAAGCAATAAAGGAGACGTGGATACTGAATGGCTACTTTACGATAGAGGGGTTTCGAAAGATCTTAGAGACGCAATCGAGCAGACTCTGTGGCAAGAAGAGGGACTTCTTTCTTCCGGGGAAGAGGTGCTCGCAGTTGCAGTACAGGAGTCTGGAGTCTGTGGATATATTATCACACGTATCCTCACCCAGCGTCTAGGAGACAGCCTACCGGTCTCTGAAGAGATGGTCAAGGTGGCAGCTGCAAATCATGGACGGTATGGATATCAGATTATGCAGCAGCTCTTCGAGTATCGTGGAGACAGTCTACCAGTCTCTGAAGAGGTGGTCAAGACGGCAGCTGCAAATTGGGATGGACATGAGATCATGCAGCAGCTCTT